TGACCACAATATCTACGATAGGCCTTAGGTTTTTAAGATCATTCTAAATTACTGGTAACTCTTATGTACCAGTTCAGATTATTTAGGGTGAATTTATAATTGTTCCTGTTCATTTCTGTGATAGGAAGACAGGCATTTTGCATCTGGACTTGAAATGCATCCTTCTCTAAATGAAAATTGGTTTCTGAAATCTGTGACAGCTCATGTTGTATTTGGTTTACTTGAGGCAGTTATGTTGAATGCAGAAATGTCTCCATTAGGATATTACTAGAAAGAGAAGCCTTTTATAGTGTGAGGGAAAGGCACTAGAGCCAAGTACTCAATGGTTTGTGATGGATCATGTTTTATTGTCCTGAGTTTTTACTAGAAAAACCCAGTTGTAGCGAATTCCCTTTCCCTCTGACACAATCGGGGTGACTAAGCCAGTGGTTGCCAACCTGGACGCATGTCAGAACATCTGGAGAGATTTTTAAAATGATCACTACCAGTCCTTGTGTCTCTGGGTTTGAGATTAACTTGGGGCCTAGGAAGATTTAAGAGCTCCGCCAGGTTATTCAAATATGCAGGCAGGGCTGGGCACCACACAGCTAAGTGGACTGTGCTACATGAGGATAGGGTGAGTCACCTCTTTCTCAACCTTAATTTAAATTTAATATTTAAAATTTTTTTTATTTGAGTGAGTGAAGAAGTAACTTATTGTGTAAGCAATGTATGAATATGGAACTTGAAGAACATCAGTCTTGGCTCCAAAAGGTGGCATGGTGGTTAAAGTGCTGGACCCACCCACATGGCCAACTATAGTTCAAGTCCTGGACCTGGTGACTTGCTTTCTCACTTTTCCTCTCTGTGTATGTGTCTCTCCCTGGTCAAATTAAAAGAAATAAATAAACCAGCAGTTAGCGTAATGGCTATGTTGCTGGACTCCCATGTAGTCAACCGTGGTTCGAGTCCCGGATCCAGTGGATTAAAACTCACACTGGGCGCGTCTGCGTGTGTGCCTAAGATCCTGAAAGGAGAACGGAGGAGAAGGGATTGCAGTGTGGCCATCCCCTCTGTGGGGCGATTTCTCACTTTCTGTCTCTCTGTCTCTCTCTCTCTGGTGAGCGCCAGAAAACAAAAAAAAAAAAGAAATGACTGAATAAAATTAAATAAATAATAATTAAAAAAAAAAAGACCATCTGTCTTGAACACATGAAAGGCAGAATCTGGCCATGACTGTGCAGTCCACAGCCCAGCTGGACCTCTCCGGCTCTTCAGAGACCAGTCAAGGCGAGAACAGCACTAGCTAACAGAAGCAGCTAGGAAATCCCCTTCAGTGTCTCGTCGTACTAGCGTCCCCTTATATATCACATCTGGATTTTCTGAGATTTTCCCATTCCTTATGATCTTATTTTTCCAACAATGTGAAGTGTGTCAAACTTACTAAAAATGCATTTTAATTTATTTATTTCTTGAAAATGAACCTATGAATCCTAAAAATAAAAACAGTGATGCTCACTCTCAGTGTAGTGTTTGGAATATATCACTGGGCCTGTAGTAGTTATAATAGGTGAGTCGACTAACTTAAGTCTGAGGGAACAGAATAACATCCAGTTTTAGTATTTTCTGTGTACAGTGCAAGACTCCCTGAACCCTTGAATAATAGCTGATTTGTCCATCTAATTTACTTTCCCTGTCAAGGGTGATACTTGGAGCTCTAATTAACTGCTCGTCCAGAGCCTATTTTTATTTGAAAACTTCCTGGACAATAAATAAAAGAGATGAACATTCCTTTCTTTCTGGCTCTCGGTTGGTCTACTTCTGGCTCTCGCAGGAGTGATATCATCTCTGCGGTCCTCTGAGAGTTATGCCCGGCGCACCTGCCACGAGTCTTCCTTTCAGCCTTCCCCTTGGCTTCCTGTGCCCTAGCTCCCCCACCCCCACCCTGAGCTTCTGCTCTGAACCCAGGTGGCGGTGAAAGTGTTACCAATAACCCGCAGAGACTCTGCAGAAGGTACCAATGGTGCCTGCTTGCATAATTCTTCTAACTGCCCCCTTGTACGGAATTGCAAAACGTTTCGAGCACCTCAGAAGGAAGGCACTATGTAAACAGAAGGTATTTTTCTACCAGTTGTCTATTTGTGTTTACTATTAACAGCAGAAATAATTGAGAGCATCAGCAGAATAATTTGATTATTTCTTCAGATTTACGGGCTGTGGGTTAGGCCAGCGGCTTTCCAAATTATCAAACATCGTATCCGTGTTTTCTGTCAAGCCCCGCTTTACATTTCAGGGCTTGGCACATGTCGTATTTAGTTGGAATAGTCTTTTTTTCTTTTCTTTTTGTCTGGAACCAAGGTTGCTTTAAGGACTGGTGATTCAGTTTTTAGAAAGCAAATCGTCTTTCGGATCAAATTCTTCTGCTATTTAAATAGAGCAATCTTTTATCCACATGCAAAGGAAATAACATTTTCTTAGCCAAAAGGGAATAGATATTCTGGTTTTATTACTGAAATGATTAATTCTTTTTTCTTTTCTTTTTTTGGAGAGGTTTTTGCTATAGGGCACGTGCGCTCGCCAGACAGACAGAGAGAGACAGAGAGACAGAAAGCAAGAAATCACCTCTCAGGGGGGATGGTCACGCCGCAATCCCTTCTCCTCCATTCTCCTCTCGGGATCTTGGGCACGCATGCACACGCGCCTGGCGTGAGTTTTAAGCCACCGGGTCCAGGACACGAACCGTGGTCGACTACATGGGAGTCCAGCGACATAGCCATTACGCTAACTGCCGGTTCCCCTGAAATGATTAATTCTGAAACTGAAAACAAAATCGAACTAGTAGCAGTATAATTGGTTTTACTAAGGATTAGCACTGGGAATCCTTTTTCCTGTTAGCCATGCCGTTGTCTTCTCCATCTCATTCCCGACAGATGTACACAGCAAGGACGCTTACTGTGATATCAAGGATCGAAGTAACTTTCTTTGTCATCTGTTATAGTTGAAGTCATTTTAGAATCAATCGCTTTAGACTGATAAGTGAAATAAGATTCTCAGATTTATGACTTCTGGATTTAATTATCTTGAAGAAAAACCTGCTTTTCTAGGGCCCAGGAGGAGGCGGCGTGGTGGGGAAGGCACTGGAGTCCCAGATGGCCAACTGCGATTTGAGTCTCAGACCCAGTGACTCATGCTGGGCATGTGTGCATGAGTGCCCAAAATCCCGAGAGGAGAAGGGGTTGTGGCATAGACATCCTCCCAGGGGGTGATTTCTCACTTTCCTTCTCTCTGTGACCAGCTCTGGTGAGTTCACATGCCCTATGGCAAAAAAAAAAAAAAAAAGAAAACCTTAAAAAAAATATTTCTAAAGCTCAATAGACATCTATAAATTGCCCATGAAATTTAAAAATTTAAGTCAAAACTGGAGATGCAAATGAACTGGTACTGGTGTAGGCACTGATGTCATGTAACTTTAGATATAAACCGTAAGTGACATCTTTTCTAAAGAATCCCCATGTGTATTTACAGAGGAATCATGGCTGCTTGGATAAAAAATACATAGTAAGGACAATTTCGTAGGACTGTTTCAGAGTTTCATCCTTAGACAAGAGATATAAGTATAAGCTGGTTTTATTTTACCGGTTTGCATAGAGAAAACAAGAGGAAAGAAAGTAAGGTGATGGTTTTACTTCCTAAAGGTCAAAATCATCATTGTGCTTTTACTTAGGCCAAGGGCGTTACATAAGGAGAGAATCGTGTCTAAAATGTGCTTTAAAGGTTCAAAGCATCGTAAAGGAAACACATACTGGGAGGCTTGGTTTTGTTTCTTGATTTCAAAGGTGGCATTGTAGGGTCGTGTAATCACAGTATTTACCTCTATGTCCAAGAGGGTGTCTAGGCTCACTTTGGCATGTGTGACTTGGGAAGGATTTAGTATTATATATATATATATTTTTTTTTTTTTCTTTTATGACTTCTGAGTGTTCTGTCCTTTTCTCACAGTCTGGGTTTCAACTGATTTTTTTTTTTTTATGTAAGAAATTGTAGGAAGTCTGTGTTTCTACAGTGTCCCGTTTTTGGTGCGCTTAAGCTGCCTAATCCACCTTCCCCTGCTGCTTTGTCTTGCACTGTTACCAGAGCTCTCAGTCCCTGAATGAGATACTCTGACTGAAGTAAGATTTTCTAATTGCTTAAGATCTGAACTCTTCCACATAGCTAGAACTGTTTGAGATGACTGGGATATCAGCAAGCATACCTAGACTTCCTCTGACCTGAGAACAAAATTTTAATAGTTTCCAAAACATACTGAATGAATGCCTTGAGCAAACAAAACTGTGACAGTTCTTGAGGACGGTCATATCCTTTTCTTTGTCTTGTATTGTCACAAGTAACCCCTTGCAAAGACTTGCCTAGACATTTGATTGGCATTTCTTTTGTTCTTAGTTGGCCATTGAGGAACAATCAACTTTACCATTGCTTCCTCTGTTTTTATAACATGATGGCGAGAGAATGAATGCCTTGAGCAAACAAAACTGTGACAGTTCTTGAGGACGGTCATATCCTTTTCTTTGTCTTGTATTGTCACAAGTAACCCCTTGCAAAGACTTGCCTAGACATTTGATTGGCATTTCTTTTGTTCTTAGTTGGCCATTGAGGAACAATCAACTTTACCATTGCTTCCTCTGTTTTTATAACATGATGGCGAGATGGGGGGCGGGGGGAGAAAGGGGGATGGGAGGGTCATGCCAATACCCACTAAACTAAAGTGGACTGTGTTTTGAAATTGCAAAAACTGGGCCCCTTTTGACTTCCACTTATACCCCTTCATTCTAATCACTAACAAGATATGTTTCTATGTTTGTGGATTATTTAGAATTCGTGTAGTTTTATTTATTTATTTATTGGTGTGCGTGCCTGTGTGTGTGTGTGTGTGTGTGTGTGTAATATCCTTGGGACATGTTTGCTAGCATCTGCTTGGGGTGTGAAGGTAATTTCTATTCTATTTTCTGATTTCTGAACTTCAGGAGAAGGTAAAGCTTGATGCTGAAAGGGAAAAACTAGAGAGGCTTCAGGAGCTTTACTCCGAGCAGAAGACCCAGCTGGACAATTGTCCTGAGTCCATGAGGGAACAGTTACAACAACAACTGAAGAGGGTCAGTAGCAAACAGGAATGCACCAGTTGTTTTTGTTTTGTGTTGTGTTGTGTTGTGTTGTGTTGTTTTTAATTAAGTTCCACTCACCTATGACTTACTTCTCCACATAACATAAATATGCAGGTTCTAGTCACCTGATACTTTTAAAATAAAAATATGCCTGCAAACAGTGTATGTTTTTTTCATGCGAATCAGTTTTAAAATTCTTGTTAGAATCCTTTATCTCCCTGATAATGCAGAAGTATTTCTAGTCATTCTTTGTAACAAAAGAGAGCTGTTCCTGACTTGTAGTGGACACCAAGATTGTAACTCTGAAATCAAATGACATCTTTGCTTGCATTCTCCGAGGCATTGTGAGTGCCATTTGCTCTTGAATGCTTTCTGTTTTGTTTTGTGCTGTTTTGTTGTTGGTTTGCATGATTTTAGTCTACTGTCCCAAAATGATCTTATTTACTAATTTGCTCTTCACCATCATGCATTGTTTTTTCTTTCTACTTTTTAGTGACATTGAACTCATTAGCTTGCTCACAACACTTGAACCCCAGGACTCCATATGCAGGACGTTACTAGTACCCTCAACATCTTATTGTGCAAGTTGCATAATTTTTAAAAACATAAGGCAACATATACTTTCTTATTAAACGTTTTTAGGTCATCCTCTAATCCTTAATGTTGGCAGTATTTAACATGACCACACTGATTATCTTCTGAAAACGAGACTTCCTAGGTAGATAGTTTTACAGCACTGGCATGCCCACAGCTGGGTGGTTTTCTCTAACCAGCAGTTCATCTAAACTGTGATCCTAGGAGGCAGTCATTAAAGTGTTGGATCTCTAAAGGAGTCAAGTACACATACTATGTCCTGAGTAACAATTTAAGATTCCACAGGAGTAGGAAAGAAGGCTAGTTTCATTCCCATTAATATGCCTATACCTCCTTGAGAATGAGCAAATTGAAAAGTCAGTTAAGATAACACAAACTTGATGATTTTTTTAAGATGACCTTTAATACAAAATAATGGCTACCTTTGAGAATATCACTAGGTAATGAAAAATTACTGTTAAAACTATTTAATGTGGGACCAGAAGGTAACATAGCATTCAACTGCTGGACTCCCACATGGTCGACTGAGGTTTGAGTCTCGGACCCAGTGGCTTAAAAGTCATGCTGAGCCTGTGTTTATGTGTGTGTCCAAAATCCTAAGAGAATGGAGGAGAAGCGATTGCAGTGTTGCCATCTATCCTGAGGGGTGATTTCTTGCTTTCTGTTTCTCTGGTTAGAACACGCTTCCTATTAGCAAAAATCTCTCTCAAAAAAAAAAAAAATCAGCTTCTTGATGTATTGCAGAGTATGAAAGCATTTTAATAGGAGTATCAAAATCTCTCTCAAAAAAAAAAAAAAATTCAGCTTCTTGATGTATCGCAGAGTATGAAAGCATCTTAATAGGAGTTTTTAATGCAAACAGGTTAAACTGCAGCATAACAATTTTAGTAGTAATTCCTTACAATGTTGGATCAAGGAAAGTTTTAATAGGGCTGACAGGAGGCAAAGTGATAAAACTGGCTGGATCCCACATGGTGACCCTGTGGTTCAAGTCCCAGATCTGGTGGCTTGAAAAGCCAGCTGTGCACATGTGTGTGCATGCCCAATTTCCTGAGGGGAGAATGGAGAAGAAGAGATTTTGTGGCCATCCCTCCCCGGGAGGGTGGTTTCTCATTTTTCCCTCTTTATCTCACTCCATCTCTCTCCATTTCTCTCCTGCCAGTACAAGTGCCCTATGACAAAAATCTAAAAGAAAAAAAGTTTTAACAATATTTCTCCCTTTTATTTATTTTATTGTGTAAAGCTGAATTTGCTATATGATGATAAAACTTCTTGTTTCTTAGTGTCATGTATCTCTAAATTTTATGACAAAAATTACTGGAGAAGACTAGTACATACAACATTAACTTTGTAATCTGTGTTTATACCAGTTCACAAAAGAGATGGAGATGGGGCCAGCAGGTGGTGTGGTAGTTGGGGTGCTGGACTCCCACATGGCCGACCACAGTTCAAGTCCTAGACCTGGTGGCTTTGCTTTCTCATGCTTCCTCTCTCCATCTCTGTCTCTCTCTGGTCAAATTGAAGAATAATAAATACATTGGATAAATATTAATAAAAATTTTTTAAAAAGAGAGGTGGGGAGACTTTTTATGTTTGTTTACTATTTTTCAATCATTCTTATTGCTAAAGATTTTATAAACTCACCATAATTCATTATTTAGAGGCAACAGCATGGCTATAGATTTCATTTTTTTCCCCTCTAGTTATCCATTTATTGTTTGTGTTCTTTATAAATAATTCAAACAAAAAGTTGATAGGTTCTATTAATAACCTTGACTTAAGTTACTAGATAATTGTTGTTTACTTGACCTAGATCTTGTAGGGTAACTTATAAATTTACAAATGCAAATGTTCAAAGAATTTTGAGTGCAAAAGTGGAAAGGAAATGATGCTGATACTCTATTAATTGAAAGCAAAGACTCCTTCCCTTTCCCCTTTGAACAGGGAGAAAACAAAACCAAAACCCAAACCCTTCCCTTAGGAGAAATAACTGGCGTGTGGTAGCATCTGTTTACGTGTTATTAAGAGGTCTACTAATTCCATTTTCTGAGATGATTACCAGTAGGACTCTTCAACACCACCTTGGCTTAATCAGTACAGAGTTCAGTTATTTTCTGAGAAATCCATTCATACTAGGAACTTCCTGTGTTATTACGACTTCTTCAGAGTTTAAACACTTCGTGATACTACATTACATAGCTTTTCCTAAAACATTCATACTAGAATTGATGAAGTTGATTTTATTACAACTAGCCTCATTATGTGGCAAGTCATTCAAAAAATAAACAAAGGGGAAGGAAATCATTTTCTTAAATTGCATGTTGTCTTGAATAGTTGAGCTGGAATTATAGGATGATTTTGTACATACAACGTTATGGAAGTGTAACTGGACTTTTTACTTCTAAATCACTGCTTTAGAGTAAAAACATAGTTTTCAAGGTCAGCTTATGGCTTGGTGGTTAGATTCCAGGTGTCTGGATCCTGCATTGCCAACTGTGTGATTTGAGTCCTGGACAAGATGGCATAAAAAAACATACTGGGGATGTGTGCATTTTTGCCCAAGGTCCTGAAGGGAGAATGGAAGAGAAGAGATTGCAGTGGGGCCATCCTCCCTGAGGAATGCTTTCTCACTTTTCCTTTCTCTCTCTTCATGGAGTGCATGTACCTTATAGTTAAAAATTTATTAAAAAGAATATAATTTTCATCTTCTGTTGATTTTATGGCCTGTGATTGGTATGTGGTTGATACAGGCTATATACCAGTCCTGGGATACAAGTAAGATGGAAAGAAAGCTGAATTAAGTGACTTTTTTTTTTGTTTTTGCCAGGTAAGGTCCCCTATTAAGTGGAGGAGACAGATACATGGCTGGGACAATTTTCTTGTGCTTTAGCTGAATCATTGATTTTGGTTTATGATTTAAAAAGAAAAGTTCTATTCAGTGTCTACAGTTAGAAGATTTTATGTTTTTATTTTTTAAACCACTGACTCTAAAGTCATTTTATTCTTTAGTCTTGGAAAATCAATTGGGCCTCAGTACCCTCCTATATAAAAAGGGTGAGAATGGACAATATGGTTTCTGTTGTATTTTTCTATATTCCAAATGTGTGCAGTTAAACTGTTTGATTATATAGCTCAAGATGGAGAAAGCCTAGTCAACTCTGAGCCACCTTTAAGTTTGCTTCCAGACTTGGCCTTGAGCAGTCATGAAGTTATTACAACTGGGTCGTCTGGAAAGTCATGACACATTTTTGCATAGAAAAATATGTCATCACTTTTCCCATGACCTAATACAATTACTCCTGGCCATACCACACCTATTCTCATCTTTCTGTTCTTCCATTAGACAAAAAATAAATAAATAGAGATCTGCAGGTAAATCTCTGCCATAATTCTCAGAACAGTTATTGGAAAGAAAAGAGAAATTGCATACGATTTTCTCCAGGGCAGCTATTTTATTTCCTTTCACGCTTGATCTTTGAGCTTGCCAGTCAGTAGAGATTTGTAGAGATTGTTCTCTTAGTGAGGGAAGTTCAACTGAAAGTTTCATTCAAGTGGTCAAATACTTGACTTGAAACTTCCTGTTTATATTATTATTCAGTACTCAAACTACTTCTACCCCCAAATTCCATTCCTTGAATTCTTATTCTTATCTAAAATCTTTTGAAAGTTTTTATTCCCCTCCCAAATAGTTTTTCTTCAAGAGTGCATGTTTATATACACATGTTCAATGGTTTAGATAATTTGATCAGATGAATCTGAGTACTAAGTTTAGCTTAATTTTCATCTAGCCTACCTAGTGTGCTATTGTTTTCTTGCAGTGGTTTAAATATTTACTATAAATAAATTAGTGACTTTGTGACCCTGGTACAGAGTTAAAAGAACTCATGTTGCATATTAACCAGATGTGGAGAAGTGACTGACTAGTGTACTATACACACTGTATACACGTGGGGTGTGTGTGTGTGTGTGTGTGTGTGTGTGTGTGTGCAGTGAACCATTTTGCCCACTTTGAATAAAGATGATTTGTAAACACAAAAAAAGGATTATTACATTTTCATCTTTGTACTCTTTAGGTACAAACCAAGAAAGATCTTAAACTTGAGTGTGTGTCTGTAGGAGTAAATATATATCAGCTGATGTGTTAGTCTGAGACTAGTGATGTTTCATTCACGGCCTAACACTTGAGTTATTTCATAGTTCCTTTAATTTATTCATTTATTTATGAGTCATAATCTTGAAATGTCTGATAAACTTGTAATGTTAACCCAAAACCTAAAATCAAGATCACATTTTTTTGGCCAAATAAAATGTAAAGAAGTGTTCAGAACTGCAAAGTATGTTTTTCACATTGATTTTCCCACTCTCAGCTTTGAGAATCTGTGGTTTGTAACCTAATAATCTTGTTGGTATAGTGTTGCGTGTAATTATATGGTAAATAGCTCTTCAATGAACCACTCCTAGAATAAAATTTGATGCAACAGAAATATGTTCCATTTTATGAAAAGACTTAAATCATTACTTACCTAAAAAAGCAGAGATGTGTGGTAGGAAGTTAATTTATCTAACACTCTTTGATGATTTGATCAAACAGAACTAAGTTCCCTGACTATTTCAGGTACATAGAGATGTGAGCCTTACAGTCCAGCTGCCTCTTCCCTTTGGCAATGGATTACTGATACATTATATATTTTAAAAATCCTCTACACGTATCTCCTTTATAATTCTTTTAAAGTTTTCAAAAATGAAGGAGTGTTTTTTGAAAGTAAGTTGGAGAACAGTTTATGTAATACATACCAGTCCCTGTATGAATGCAGGTGCATGAGTACATTCTTGTCTTTGAGCAACTTGTAAGTTAAACAGTGCCTTTTCTAGACCATCTGATTTTTTTATTTTTAATCTTAAATGTCTTGGAGGGCCAGCTGGTGGCCTGGTAGTTAGGTGGCTGGATTATAAATGGATAGCTGTTTGCTTTTAATCTAGGAGCTGGAGTTTTGAAAAGCATGCTGAGGAAAAAATAGACAACACATTTAATAGACACAAAAATGAAAAATTATCTGCAGATGATAATATTGGGTTGTTGGAAAAGCCATTAGGCATTTTTGCATAGAGAAACATAGAACAAATACATCATGACTTTTCTGACAGTATAATATATACAGTAATGTCTTTCACTTGACTAATGTGCACTGTATTCATGTGGGGAAAACCATGTTGTACAAAGATGTACAGTGATGGGAACCAGCAGTTAGCGTAATGGCTATGTCGCTGGACTCCCACGTAGTCCACCGCGGTTTGCGTCCCGGCCGCGATGGCTTAAAACTCATGCCGGGTACGTGTGCATGCATGCCCAAGATCCCGAGAGGAGAATAGAGGAGAAGGGATTGCAGTGTGACCATCCACCCTGGGGGGTGATTTCTCGCTTTCTGTCTCTGTGTCTCTGTCTGGTGAGTGCACGCGCCCTATAGCGAAAACCTCTCCAAAAAAAAAAAATGTACTGTGATTAAATGTAAATTTAAGAAAATAACTTTGGCGGAGGGAGAAGTTTTTGCTAAAGGGCTCATGTGCTTGCCAGAAAGACAGAGAGACAGAAAACGAGAAATCACCCCAGAGAAGATGGCCAAACCACAATCCCTTCTCCTCCATTCTCCTCTTGGGATCTTGGGCACACACACACAAGTGCCCGGTGTGAGGTTAAGCCACCAGGTCCGGGACTCAAATCGCGGTCAACTACATGGGAGTCCAGCAACGTAGCCATTACACCATCTGCTGGTCCCAAGAAAATAAATTTTTTGAAAGATCAAAACAAAACAAAACAAACATTTCAAGGGCGCGTTTGTATGCATGCCCAAAATCCCAAAAGAAGAAATGATGTAGGAGAAGGGATTCCAAAGTGGCCATCCCTGCCGAAGGGGGGTGGTTTTTCACTTTCCTTCTCCAGCAAGCTCATGTGTCTTTTAACAAATTTAAAACACAAAAAAGAAAAAATGTTCTTGAGATTATTCCCAGAATAGTGGTGTTTAATCTTTTGTATCACCCTTTTTGCCTGATGAAAGCTTTAAAATTTTGTCAATAATTTTGACAGATTCACAGAGGTCCAGTTCAAGAAACTTGATCTCCACATTTTTTACAATAGATTTTCTTCTTTTTTAGAGACATTTCAGCTTAATAGCATAATTGAAAGACAAATAGAGATTTCCCATATAGCCCCCGACCCCACAAGTGAATAGCCTACTCTATTACAACATCTCCTCCAGAGTGCTATAGTTGTGACAGTCGCTGAGCCCACGCTGACACTTTATTACCTAGAGTTCTTGTTTGAATGTTTTGATTATGTGTCTCTTCAGTAGAATGATTTAAGCATGCATGCCATTTATGTATGTGCATATGTGTGTGTGTGTGTGTGTGTGTGTGTGTGTGTGTATAAATACATAAGATACTATAGGCCATATATATGATACTATATATGGCATGCATGTGCAAAGACTGTATATATTTAAAATTATGTACATAGGCACTCTAGCTTTATATACATTAGAAAACATTTATTGACAGATTGAAAAAAGCAAACAGAAAACTAGAAGTAAGTATAGAAAAGGTCTAGTATTTTCTCCTGATGTTTTAGTGAACTGCGTCCTGTGCAAATTAAGGTACATGTATCCCTTTCAGAGACCTGTGTTTTGTATTTAATGTCAACTTTCAACTCTTTAATTTCTATGTTAAAGTCTCATTTCATAAGAAAATTGTGAAAAAAAAGAAGAATTTTCTCAAGAGAATATGTTACACCTTTGGTGTGCAGATAATGTTCAGGTCATTTACTGAATTCTTTTTTCACTTCAATATCCATCTTAAAGCTGCTTAAATTTAAGTACAGAACAGTCTAAAAGTGATTGTGAAGAGAATGCTGCCCACCCCCATCAAGTTCACTTAGATTCTACTTTAACAGTCACTGCTCTGAGGTAACTGCTATAGGCAGGATTCGCATTTCAAGCCTGGACAGGATTATAACCCAACAGCCATCTTGGACTGTTTATTTTTAGTAATCGTTTCCTCACATTAGGAAGGCTACAGGGATCATGATGTGTCTTGTTTTCCTTTCCTTTGATCCGAAGGATGCTGACCTACTAGATGTTGAAAGCAAACACTTCGAAGACCTGGAATTCCAGCAGCTTGAGCATGAGAGCCGTCTGGATGAGGAAAAGGAGAACCTGACCCAACAGCTCCTGCGTGAAGTGGCTGAGTATCAGCGAAATATCGTGACTAGAAAGGTACTTTTTCTAGGTGCCATCCAATAGGAAAAATTAAAATATACCCTTTGCTGTGTGACAATAATGATCACTAATATAGCTGTGACATGTGTCAGTCTACTATTTTTATATCTAAAGATCTTTGAATCATAGATTGCATTTGGCAAATTATGAAGACTGCCATGTATGCAGCAAATAGCGTTCAGAACTAGATAGACTGAGACACGTTACGGTCATTGGTATGTAATGCGCTAGACATATTTATGAGTAAGATCCAATATTTTCATTTGTGTGAAAACCAAGACATAGAAACTGAGGAATTCAGATATTTATTTTAAATATTTTCCTTTGCTGTCATTGTGACTAGATTGAGAATAATGCTATGAATAAAGTCTGTTCTGGAATTTTCTGTTTCCATTTCTTAGTAGTTCTTAAAGTTGGATGATAGTTTATTACCATTAGAACTAGCCCAGTGAACTGTCATGCAGGATTCTACAGACTATACCCAACCTAAGACCTAGATGTCCAGCTCAGAATTCAGCTGTAGTTCCAGAATTTAGAATCAAACCCCAGAGCTCGGTACTGAACTGATAAACCTGAGGAAAAACAAGATAGAGAAAGCAACTTCTCAAACTTGCAATGTAAATAAGAAATTCCATTGTTTTTTCCCATGAGGTGTTTCCCAAGATGACATCAAAAATTCATTATGGTCTCACAGAAGATTTCCTACTGACTTTTGAGTTCTTCAGAATAGATTTTGAATCATTTGGACTATAATGACCTTAACTAAAGTCTTGAGTTTGGCTGGCAGATCACAAAAAATGCCTTATCATTTCTGGGTAATAATTGCTTCTTCCCAGCAACTAAATTTGGCTGCTATTATTCCAGTTGTAAAACCATTTTCTCCCTTTTCCAGGTCAGATGGACAAATCTTTGAATATCTAATGTACATCTTTCTGTGACCATCTTTTTTCCTCCAGGAAAAAATTTCTGCATTGAAAAAGCAAGCCAACCAT